AACTATATTTCCAAATAGATTATATGCCAAAGTATATTTGGTAAACGTTTGACGGTCTCCGGTGCTTTCGTTTTCAATACAGACGCCTTGAAAGTTGCATTTTTGCCCAAAAATGACCATTTTGAGCGATTTTGAGAAATGTTTTTCTCCATGGAAACGAGGCAATTCTGAAGCCCCCTAGTATACTGCTAAAGTACACCAGGTGTACTATCGTAGTCCATCCTGCGATTTGTGAGTTTCGCAAAAATGGTTTCGGGGGTTCGGTCGGGGGCACCGAGTTCTAGAGGCTTGTTTCAATCAATACATTTCTGCTATAGTATATTAAAATTTGAATAAAAACCAGTTTGATATGAACTTTTCACAAGGAATTCAACGGTAATACAACAACAAGTTAATTCTATTATTAAGTGGCGTCATTGATGTCTACGGTTGAATATACTGTAATATACCGTGAAAACCCACAGTGGAGAATCCGGATCCAAAAAGTATCGGGACACAGACGAGATTTTTGCGCCGTACAACGTAATTCATCGCGCTGATTCTGAATATGTAAAAATCTCAAAGACCGCTTCTGTAGAAAAAAACCATCAAATTTTGATATGCTTTAACATGACGTATGGCTTATTTTTTATTTTGTTCTGTTGTGTTTCACGTGTCCATTGTAAAATCTATTTGAGAGAACAAGCACAAACGTAAGAGAATGTGCATGTTTATTATTATTATTTTTTAGTTTAAGCTTTTATTAGAGAATGGAGAGTAGCACAAGCGGCCGAAGCCATACAGCGCATAGCAAATTAAGTAAAAGGTAAAATAAAAAAAAAAGAAAAGAAAAGATGGAAGAAAGCAGTGAAGAAGATCTTATTATCTTATTATCTTAAGAAGATATTATTTTTTGTTTTTGAAATAAAGCATAAAAGAAAAATCTTCGACTGGTAGAATAGAATGTAGTCTTAAATACTTTTTCGGTCAAAACTTATTTTTTTATTGTAATAAAAATAGCAGCAAATGTGCACCAAGATTGAAGATTAGTAAGTTAATTGTATTTTTGTGCATTATGCAATAATGATAATTGCTCATGAATAATACTAAGCAGATCTATCGGTATCTATAACTCTATTATTCAGTATTAATTTATTAAAAAAAGAGCGGTATGAGACAAACATGTGTCTAATTGTTTAATTTCGAGCCAAATATACTTTAAATTCTCGAATGTCTATTATTCATGCAGCTCAGGGCGTTTCTTTTTTCGCGTTGTGTTATAGGGTTTTTGAACTTTATAACTTATAAAATATAAGGAGGGCATCGATATAACCGTTCTAAAATATTCTGACCGGGTCGGGCCGGCCGGTTATATATTTTGTTTGCTCTGTGTTGCTTTAAAGTTTTTCGTGCCTTTGTTTGTGTGTGAGAGAGTGAGATGGCGCGAGTGTGTGAATGTAGAAACTAAACGGCCGAGGAGTGCTAAGTTGCAGAAAAAACGTTCATATCTCTCGAACCCTGGATTTTCACAGAACTCAACTTCTATGTAATAAAAATATCGTATTCGAAATCAGGATCAAAGGCTGAGTCGAATGATGGGTATTTCTATCCTATCCGACTACTTTGAATTCTCACATTGAAAAATCATCGAGATTTTCATCAAAAAAAGAAAAACAACTAAAAATTTCGAAATACGCATTGGTCGACTCAGTCTTTGATCTTGATTCTGAATATGACATTGAGGAGCTCCAGTGCAGGGAAGCCGTTGCCCATGGTGTACTGTTGGAATCGACGCATCTTGACCGCACGTTTTACTTGTTCGCAAGCTACCACAAATCCAATTGCGAATAAAAGATGGTTTTACTCTCATTGATATGCATATAAAAAATTATGAAAACATAAATCGTTTTGGTTATCATACCGTGAAAAAGATGACCTTACAGATGAGTGTCGTAGATGACGACAGTGTATATACGGCATATCTATAATATATTCCTCAATGTTTGCAGCAATGGCAGAATTCCTACATTTCAGACATTCTACAGAATTCTATAGAATTCTACATTTTCCCTATGAACTCTACAACAACTTTTTCCCAGCTGAAACATGATAAGTCCGAGTTATTCTCAAAACAGAAATCTAGGAAATGTATAGAATTCTAAGTTAGTACAGACATAGTTGCTCACCTAGAATTCTATAGAATTCTGTACATTTCCGCTTGTCTCCCATTCGGCTAATATATTGTACATGTGCAGTAAGGTAGAATTCTACGTTAGCATAGGTATACCTTTATTGACCAAGTTTTTGAGTCAAACGGAAATGTATAGAATTCTACAGAATTCTATCACTGACTAGGAGTGGGGGCGGGGCAGGGCTGCCGTGCATGATAGTGAGTCACTAATCAACTATATTCGTACTAATGTAGAATTCCATAGAATTCTATACATTTCCGCTTGGCTCAAACTTGGTCAATAAAAAGTATATCCAGGCTAACGTAGAATTCTATAGAATAGGTGAATTGCAGGAACTCTGACATCCCTCTTCTTGATCAAAATCTAAGATAAGTCGCGAAAATTTCATTAAAATGAATCAACCAGGAGCCGAGTTGTTTTAAAATAAAATTCAATAACCCTGGAAACGCAGAGTACTTCTGCTAGTGTACATTAAGAGAAATAGAACAGAAACTTTTATTTATAGATTACTATAGGATTTTAAACTTTTACCAACAGCACGAGATGAATCTATTATAAAAAACAAACGAAGAATAATTAAGGAGAACGGAATGGATATATTTCAGATATTTGCATTACTAAATTCTGTGGCGGTTGATCATCAAACTCTTGTCTCCACTCAGGTAAATAAGAATCGAGGAGTGATCGATGAATGCTAAATTGTTTCTTTTGTTTGCATTGAGCTTTCATCCATGTGTTTTCGATGTTTTGTGTATGAAGACCTGCGGTTGGGCCGACAATGTTTCTTGAAGATTGACGGTGAAATACGTATAGTCAAGGTTGTTTTGTAGGGATTGATAGGCTTTCCATTCGTCGGAGTGGATGATTGTACCTAAAAGAGTCAAGTGCATGCTGAACTGTAACAGGACTATTTGTAGAAAAAGTACCTGGAAGAATGAACTAATATATTATTGGTAATAATGTTTGAGCATCCCGACGAGCAACTGGTACCAAAAAACATTTTGCTCCGTGAAACCCTAATCTTTTTCGAAAAGAAATTCGAAAGTGTTTCAACTTTTTTTTGATTTATTCTAGATCTAAAGCAAACAAAATTCTCAACTGACTTGTTATAATGTGTTCTACAACCACTGATCAGCGCAATTGGTTTCGATTACAGCATTTAGCGGGGCACTCATGCAGGTGCTTAAGGCAATTATTCAAAAAGCGTTATCAACAATTTTTTGGACAAGCATGGATCGACTCTCCTGCTCTTGGCAGTCAATTCTATAACAGCGTCATTCGATCGAACCATCAAAACTTCAAATTTTTATATCCTAGTCAACGTGTATCAATTCAAAATGGCAACTCCGAGGATTGGGATATCACACTATTAGCGGCACTTCTACTGAATATCTCCAGGCCACAAACTCTAAGTTCTGCTCTACAGCAAGCGCTAGATACCGAAGATAAATATCTAAAAGATTTAAGAGATATTCGCAATGACTTAGCACATCATGCTACAAGACTAATCACCGATATTGAATTCAGTATCACATGCAAAAAACTAAAATCTATTCTAATATTTTTCGGTGAAGATGATACAGAACTAGACAAACTAGTCGATGATATCGAATTAAAATCGTCGAAAGAGATTTTCGATGACACCAGTGTTAAAGAAATGAACGCTTTAAACGCCTTAGGCAAGCAATCGTTCAAAGACAAAAATTTTAAAGACGCTATTAAACACTTTACGAATGCTACTGTTTTGCCGCATTTACCGGCTGACAAGCGGGCTTTACTCTATTCAAATCTATCAAGCTCTCGACTAGCCCTTTATGAACAAGTACAACAAACCGGTTCGACCTATAAAGAACTCGCAACAAGTGACGACGAACGCTATCATGCGTTGAGAGATGCAAAACAAGCACGTAATCTGTGGCCGACCTGGTGGAAAGCACATCTTCGTGTAGGTAATGCGTATTATTCCATAAACGAATTTGAGAAAGCAGTTAACTCTTTTGAACGTGCCTTTGCACTTGACCCTTTGAATCCTGAAGTCAAACAAGCTTTAGATGATAGTCGATCTAAATACAGTGAACAACAACGTCACGAACATCTTGATCCGCATGTGAAACCGCAGACAATGGACGATCTTTTATATCACATGGATAAAAACTTTGAAATCGACCGAGATCAGGTTCGTTCAGGCCAATTCTTAGTGGAAATGATCGGCGATTCTGCTCTAGCGAATGTTACTAAGGGACATCAATATCTTATGGGTGACATAGAGATGGGAATTAAACAAGATTATGGGAAAGCGGTAAAATATTTTACTGAAGCTGTAAGACATGGCAGTGCTGAAGGAATGTATAATCTAGCTATAATGTATGATCGTGGCTTAGGTGTAGAAACAAATCATAGGTATGCGACTCATTTTTTTGAACAAGCAGCAGTACAACCACCAAAAATCACTAATACTAATTTGACAAACATAGGTGTAGCACAAGCGCAACATGCACTCGGATTACGATATTATAATGGTATTGATGTACCTAAAAATCACGCAACTGCTGTGTATTGGTACAAATTAGCTATGGATAACGATTATGAGCTTGCTGCAAATAATTTAGGAATTATGTATAAAGATGGTGGTGGTATTACACAGGATTATGTTAAAGCAGAACAATGTTTTCAATTTGCAGCTAAAAAAGGTGAACCAAATGCAATGTATACAATGTCTCAATTGTCACTTAAGAAAAATGATTTTCTGATGGCAAGAGAATGGCATCAACGTGCATGTGATGCTGGTCATGTTTTAGCACTAACGAATAAGGAAAGCTTCCTAGAAGGTATAAATAAGAGAGCAGCATTAGTCAATAAATTAGGACCAAATTCATTGAATCGGCTGAATCAATTGACCAAAATAATGGACTTAGCAAGTATAAAACCAATGCCAAGTATGAGTGACTCTCGCATATTTGACTATGTCGAACTCCAAGAACACGTAACAAAAGGGTCACTGACTGCTAAGCGGTTATGTACTGCATTAGAGCATTTTTATACAGCACTCAATTCAATCTTACACGTAGAACATTTCGATGAAAACTTATTTATCCATGAATTAGCTGAAGCATATCGTACTGAACAGCCTGTTGTCCAAGTACCCGGAGGCGCTTTATATAAAAGGTTTCAAGAAATCATTGACAGAACCCTGAAAAATCGACCTGACGATGAAGATGCCCAAATGTGTTATGTCTACTTTCATACAGATCAACTTGAAATGAATGCAAAATTGCTTGATCAATGGAAAATAAAAAATCCAAAATATATACATTATTATGATATAAGTGCAAATATAAACAACTTGTTAAAGCGTTTTGATTTAGCTGTGTTAGACTGCAATATAGGCTTAAAACTAGATCCGAATTATTATGAGTTTTTCTATACTAAAGCTTTTGCTCTAGGTAATTTGAACCATACCGATCAAAATGAGATTATTTCAATCTATCAAAATTTTTTGAATCTTGCACCAAAAGACCATCGAAAACTTCCAAATGCTTACTATTTTATGGCACAGTGTTATTTTATCAGAGAGTAAGTGGTAGGATACTTATCTTTAATTTCAAATACCTCGCTATAATCCTATGATTTCACTGGATGCGATAAGCGTAAACTTAATGACAACTTCTAATTAGAGATATAAGCAGATAAAATGGTATGCGGTGTAATAACAACCTTGAATTTTTCAAAAATTTTTTCAAAAAGGCAGTTTTCTATCAATAACCTCTTCCTGTTGTCAGCAGCGGCGTATCAGCTAACACTAGTTCTGATATGGTAATCAGGACAATAGCAGTTTCTTTGAGCTGATACTGCGAGAGTGCTAGGGGCTGAGAGGTAGCTATTCGTTAAAAAATCATGTTCTCCCACAGAGATTAAGAGGTGTCGTCTCCAACCCTGAGGAAAAAACATCTAAAAGTTACAAAAATATAATTTCTTCTTTCACACTCTCTGTTTTTTTTTAGTAGGAAACGAACGAATCATGATACTACCTCTAAAATTATTTCTGATTCCCTAGTTCAAGCATACAAGCAAGGCTTATCAGCTGAACTCTTGCAACTACCATATTACTTACCATATAAGTCAAATGCTAAGAAAGCGCTTGAAGTTCTGCTCGATTCCGTGTATCGAAACGAAAACGGCATACAATCAGAACAGACGCAAACCACTTCCATTCGACAAAATACTGATCATCTAATGAATCCTGGCCGTATCCAGCTGTTCAAAGAACACCGACTCTTCCTCGCCGATACACAAAAACTAATAAGCAATAATTCATCTGTACGTATAACGTCCACCAATCCACCGCGTACGCTTCAGAAGAAACCTAGAAGATTAGCTAACTTGAAAGAAATAACCTTACGAGAAATGAATCCAACAAAAAATCAGATATATGAGAATTGTGTCCTGTATGTTACAATTATTGAGCAAACACTTTCATTTGATCCATCAATTTTCCTTCTAATCGAAGATGAAAACCTTGATATTGAACGACTATTTATCTATGGGTTTTCCGAAGAAGATGGACCACACCTCATTGAAGAAGTTTTTGTAATGGGTAATAAGATGGAAATATTAAACCCATCTTTGAAAATTGGTACCCTTGATTTAAGGCCAAGTGTCCGCGTTGATGATTTGCGATCGATCATCATGCAAGACGACACTGACAGAGCAATTAAGATGTGTCGTTGCTGTGGTACACCAAATGCACCAGATGTGTGTGGAAAGTGTAAGCATGCACGTTACTGTGGCCGAAACTGTCAAGTTATCGATTGGAAGACTTATGATCATAAACTGATATGTAAGACAGCTCCATAATATTAGAAGAAAAAAATTACACTCTATCTTAAACCATTTCTTGACTATTTCTAACTTTTTTTATATAAAAGATTTCTTCTAACATTGGTTCATGCTTTTCTTTCTTTCCGATTCAAGAGAGAATCTTACATGGTAGACTCCTTTTGAGCTGCTGAATTCGAATATGTGTGTTGGAGAAAACGAGAACCTATTTAACTGGCCAAATTTGAAGTTTACTTCGCAAGTGTCAAAATCTCACTTTTCAGGTAGTATTCAGTATTTTAAAGATTTCTCCCTCAAACCTTGATCAAAGGTGAATAAAAAGGTGATATTCGGAATCTACGTTTCACGGGCTATCCAACCATGAATATTTAAAGAAAATCTATTTTTGTGTGTACCTTTCGAATTTCCGGCACATTAACTCTCCTCAAAAGTTCTAAGATTCCGATTCTGTTTCATACTCTCTAACTTCTTCTTTCAGGGGTGGCGAAACGGTTTGAAAGCTGTGGGAGAGGATTCTTTTCCCTGTAAAGCCAACGAAAAATATCAGAGTACTTTTACATCATCTCACAACCTAGCGCTACTGTGTTTATTCCCTTCTTTCTTTATGTGCATAAACGCAGCATACTAGCAATATCTTTTTTTTATTACGAATTTTTTTGATTATTTTGTCAATTATTTCATTGTCGAGTACTTCTTTTTAATGAAAGCTTTTTTGATGAAAATTATTTTAATGCAACTCCGATATCCCAGAAATTCGTAAGAAACTTATAAGGTTCTTATCAGAATTAGCAAATTTTCTTCAATTAGGGAGTATTCAAAGAAATTGCGATCTTATTGTTGTCTGATCTATGATCCATGTGTCATTTTCATTTAATTATTGACAATTATGTAACGGATCCGGGCACAGACTTGTACTTTTTTACACGATTTTGTACCCTGAACGTTGCTCCAGCTATACACAAAATATCACGTTAAGATCGGCCAATTGGGCAGCATTTTGCTATGACTCGAGCTAGCGTTTCAAATATTGTAGCACTGGTCAGCCAAATAAAATGGTGCCACAACCTAGCCTTGCCTTCAAACAATTTATAAATTACCATTTTGCCTTCCGAGTCAACTCAGAAAAGTCATGACGATATGGCGTATTCTAATGCAGCGAATGAAGATTCGAGAGAGGGTCACCCACAGGAAGGGAGGCGGATACGAAGTGTATTGAGGCATAATTCTAGAATGATTGTCGGCGTTTTCTTGCAAAATGATTAATTAGAGAACGTCTAACGATATGTGAGTAGCCCAAGAGAGCGGCTAGACGATATTTTTTTTAAGCTTTGCTGTTCACAGGCCCAATCATCAAATCATCGTTTATATCGCAAAGTAAACAAACTCCTACTCAAAATCCATGATGAATTGCCGACAGGCTTGCTACACTAAATATTTTATAAGACTCTTATAAATGTCTTACCAGAACCAGTGAATTTCTTTTCACTGTCGTGCAACTTCATATATACGAAACTCGTAAGAAACTTATATAATTTTTGTAAGACATTTACCTGGTTCTTGTCCTCTTCTTATAAAAGCCTTATCAGATTCATATATAAGAAACGATCTCTAGGGACGTTGATCGGTATTTCTTCATCAAATGGGGCTGTTGTGCTTTCCTGACGATAATGTATTTTAAGGATCCCTCCTCACAGAAAAATAAATTTTCGTCCAAAAACTTGATTTTGAGATTAAATATTCTCTGACGAAAAAAAGTATCACTTTCATCGGTAATTTCGCAGTTCGACAGAAACAGTTTCCGACAGCGTGTAATGACAGTGTCGAATTTCGAGTCAAAGAACTTCGACACGGTCGAATTTCGAGCGAAAGATTCTCGACAGACTAAAAATTCGACACTGTCGAAAGCCTGTCAAATTTCCATTAAAAAATTTCAAAAAGACATAAAAGGGTAAAAATTTCGACATTGTCGCATTTCAAGCGAAAAATCCGACCGTGCCGAAAGACCGACTGTCGAAAAGTAGAACTGTCGAACGACAACAAATTCCTTTCATCTCGAAAAAAAGTGCCCAGTTTTGTAATGCAGAAGTAAGCAAATGATTTTATTCACTTCTTCTTGAAGTGAATGAGACAAATTCATGTACATGGCCCCTAGTGAATAAATGGTGAATAAGCATTTTATATCCACCACAGCAAAAGTAAGTGGACGGATACAGTGGATAGAAAGTGGATGTAGTGCAGATGACAAGTGCATAGACAAGCATTTGACCGAAATATACCCTTAAGGCGCATAAATTATGCACTCCAAGTAAATGCTTTCTTCTCCCCAAGTGAAAAACTCTTTCTGGAAAACCAGTTTTTCAGAAACTCTAAAATATAACCAAAACCTTTGTTAACAAAAAAATCTCTATCCCTTAGTATCAAGGGAAAGTTTTCTGATTAAATATAGTTCGCATTATTTTTTAATCTACGGCCACTGGATCGATTAGCCAGCTCTCTGCTACTCTAAGAATCGTTCTTATCGTTCTTATTGTACCCCGTGAATATTGTTAGCCTATGGACATCAGTTTTCTTAGCTATTTAACGAACATTAACGGAATTCTTCTTCTTTAAACTATTTGGTGTGACAAGAAAACATGCTGTGATTCTTTCAATTCTTGTATTAGTCCTCATTTGGTTTATCTTATATACCAGTAATATTACCTTGACAAATTATTCAGCACCCAGTTTTATTAAGTACATACATCTGTGCATTTTCTGTATCATCAAATTTAATTACACTTGATAATGTCCGTCAAATACTTCATTTAGTCGGTCCATGTATAATACATTTCGTCTCAAATATACTAGTATTCGCCAGTATTGCACGACGGAGGGTTTATCTTGATGGTACGAATACATTAAAATATTGGTAAAAAGTAAGGCTTTCGTAACACGTTGAAAAGACAAATTAAAAAAAACAGGGCTTTCGTAAAGATAACGCAAAGGGATTAATATCTAAGCAGATGCTATGACAGGGCTTCCGTAACAGTCTTTAACGGGGCTTTGCTGTACTCTAAGAAACTTTCTTAGAGTAGCAGAGAGCTGGCTAATCGATCGCATTATTGCAAACTATATTTAATCAGAAAACTTTCCTTTGATACTAAGGGATAGAGATTTTTTTGTTAACAAAGGTTTTGGTTATATTTTAGAGTTTCTGAAAAACTGGTTTTCCAGAAAGA